GCAGGAGCCATTGTCAACGACTGATTCAGACTAATGCATCCATCTCCCTTTTATACTTTCCCTTGGGAATGTAAACGACTGTGGACTCGCCGGGAAAAATCAGAGTGCGCATGCGCAAATGATCTTTCTGATTGGGCTTGAAATCAAATAGCAGGTATGTAAAGCCAGCCCGAGTAGCGTCGTGATAAGCCTCAAGAAGGGCTCGGAAATGAGTGGGATCAACCTGCATGCAGAATGTGCGCACCTGCGCCAAGTCTCGACTTGTTTTGAAAATCACGATATAGTGTGTATTGAGACTTATTTGCCTTAGACCATCAGGAAAAAGACACTGACTTAAGAAATAAATACTAAGGTTTCTGTGATGGCTACCCTTAATGAAGAACTTAAGGATTTCCTTGTGGTGAGACTTAATCTCGTCCATAAAATCGTCAATCACAATAAGCTTGGGCCCTTGTCCAGTTGGGTGGTCGTCCAGGACAGGAAATTCTTGTCTGAAATCGACCTTGTCTTTTAGCTCGTCATACAGAGGCTGCCACTCAGAGTAATAGAAAATTATTTGTTCAAATTTCACATTGAACATTTCGTCTCTATTTTCAATGAGGCGTTTCATGAAAAATGTTTTGCCACTTCCCGTTCCACCCACCACGAGGGCAGTGCAAGGATGTTGGAATCTGAGGTCCATCTTGAAGACTGATGGACACCTTAAGCTGTGGGTTACTTTTATAGGGCCAGCCTGCTCCTCCCTTGCGCCAGAAAAAAATTGCCTACGTTTTAGGCGTCGAGAAGTTGGCCTAAGACCTCCAGCATCTCCTCGTCTTCCTCATCCCCTTGCCAAGCAGTGTAACCGTGAGGGACAGTGTTCTCCAAATCAACCCTGCGCCTTTTGGTGTTAACTACCCTCCAATCTTTGGACGTGTCTCTGTTCACAATTCTCCAATGAGGGATTCGTGTGATTTTTCTGGGAATAGGGACATGTACTTTTTCTATTCTCCCCCTTACCATCTCCTTCAAATTCTCAAATGTAACGAGGTCATCGCATGACTTATTAATTGTGATTCCCCTTACTTTTATGCACACCTTGATATTGTTTACGTCACCACCCACAGCCACCTTGTAACTGTAATTTTTTGGTCCCCCACAGACCATTTCCGTGATAAAAGAGCCGGCTCCATAATCTTCTTCCACCTGGTCGGTCAAATCACCCAAGTGACTTCCGGTAGTAAGATCAAGTTCACCAGGGCGGCTGATATAAGCTACGCTGTCTGTGTCACAGTAAAGGGCTCTGTCCTGTACAATATCCAAATACTTGTACAAATGCAAGCGGCCGAAGCATGTAGTTAGGGCAGCGTGAATAAGTGAGGAGGTGGCTAGTGTTTCCTCGGCATCTTGAATAGGAATCCAAGTGACCTGCATGCAGTTCTCAGAAATAGGTACAAGGGCTGTGACAATCTTAGAGGGGTCAGCAACAATGTTTAGCAGTGCATCCCTTGCATAGATGAACTCTGTCTTAGGGCGACTTGTCTTCTCCCCAAATTTACCCCAAAAGGAATTAAGGAGCAGTTTGCTTAGCTGCCGAAGTGCTGGGCGTTTATCCACCTCTGCAGGGTCGATAACAACACCGTCATATTTACGGACATCGTCTATGTATTTTTGTTTCTGCTCAGGTGTGTCACAACCTGCCGGCCACCCACTTGCTTGGAGCTTCAACGCCATAAAGCATCTTACATATGCCGAAAGGAGTCCATCCTCTCCTGTTTTAGGGTTGTACTCCATGACCCCTGGGTACTGATAGACTTCGTGTATTTTCCTCAGCTGATATCCCTTTTTAAATGCAAGAAGAAGCTCGGGCGCACACCAGGTGTCCATAAGTTCTCGTTCGGATGGGTCCTCATGCGTGCACTTGTTCTCATTTAGTGTCTCTACACAAGTGCGACAAAGCGGAAACATGAGTTTCCCATTAGATCTATAAGGCAGCACAGGCAGGTAGAGATCTCGTGGCGGTAAAACTGTGCATTTTATCGCTCCGTTCCATGACTCTTTTGGGGGCATGTCAGGGTTTCCCTCTAGGAAAATTTGTGGGTGACCTGTGACGTATTTCCCACGCAAATTAGCATTCGGATATTCCGAGATGACATCTGCCATTTTAATAGTCTCCCCCTTAGCCAGGTCAGCCTTATAGTACCATTTCATAGCATTTGTTCGTCCTCCTGCCAAAGCATCGCGCAAGCGAAGGGGAGGGACACGTGTTGTGGGGTGTGTACTGAAAAAGGCCTTGACTTCGGGATCATTTTTGAGCTCCTCATTGAATTCACACTCCCATTTCTCAATCACTGTGTAGCCAGCACGGCGGAAAATCGCCGTTATTCTTCTTGTCTGCTCGAGGCGGTTCTCTGAGTCGCCCTCTGTGGGAGGGTAATGCTTAGGACAGGAGTGGAAATAATCTCCAAAGAATTGATAGATTCTTTTCTCTACGCTCCCATCCGGGCGCGCCAGCTCAATATAGCCATCAACACGACGACCCATAACAGACACTTCCCTGTGAGTGTAAATAGTTTGTATAACCTTGCCAAGTTTAAATGACTCGAAGTCCAACCATTTTAGGGCAATATGAGACTGATTACCCCTCCCATGGTATCCTCCACTTGGCACCAAACCAATGGTATTTTCGGGTAAGAAGTTGCGACGGTAGGCTGCCATGCACGCACTACTTAGAGTTATACAAGAGAACATGGGGTCGAACCCAGCAGTCTCAGCAAAAAGCTTTCTGAAGGCTAAGCAAGCTTGTCTTAAGATCGTCACATCACTGATGCAGTAGTCAATAATCTCTCTTTTGAAATTGAACACAACACCATTAGCGACTTGTTCGTCATACCACGAGTTAAACTCGTCTGCTGCCGTGGACTTCATAGTGGATACACAGTAAAACTCTCGTGGGAGCATAGGTCCCTCATATGAAAAATACTCAGGCTTAAAAGCAAGGTAAGGCGCCCAGCCTTTCTTCAGTTCATGAAGACTAAAGGATTTTGGCATTGCGCTGAGCGGCATGGGGAGAAACATTAAGGAGTCAATAAATTTCCATGAACCAATTTTCATACAAATAATTTTTGCCCCTTGAAGTGTGATCTCAACTGGGAGTTGCCTTGCTATGATCTCGTGAATGAGGAACACAGCGTCAAATGACTTAGCATTATGAGCTGTAATGAGGAGCTCAGTCTTAGCCCCAAACGACTGAAGATAATCAATAAACTGTTTCACAACATCGACATTATTGTCATCCATATTGTGAAAAACATGTTGGCGATTTTTGCATACGACGCAAAAGTAGTCGTTTTGTGGTACGTGGGAGCAAAGATCACATACTGCTTGACAGACCAATAATATGGGTTTGTGTTCGTATGTGTTCGCCTTGTTCTCAACAGGTGTGACAGCCGACGTTTCAAAATCATAGAAAATCGAAATGTATTTGATTTTCTCTTTTTTCTCTGGCTCTGACCATTTTTGCATAAAGCAGAGATGATTTTCCATTACGTTCTCTTTGCAAAATTTGCAATATACAAAAGAACACACATGCACTTGCCCGCGTACTAGTGAATAACTTTTCTCACAAGCTGAGCAAAATCGAAATGTGTCACATTTTGTCTGGTTTGTGCGAGGAAGTTTCAATGTTTTATGAGTGTCGTAGCACTCATCCCCGGCGAAATTGTGATTGCAGTCTGTGCAACGTCTTAGTACAACATCGTTATGCAAGGTAGGACCATAACATCTCCAACAGTGGCCTTCACACCGGTGCTCACCCTTGTGGTTGTAAAATACAACACATTTTTCGCATATGTGTTCATGTTCGAACACCTGGCAGGGATAGAAGATGGCGTAAAAATGTTCCTTGTGCAGTAACAAGTAAATGTTTTTACGCAAGGCGGAGTATGGTCCCTTAAATAGACACTCTCCAGTCTTATCAGTAAATACACACAGCCTATGATCAGGCAGAACCGTCTGAAGCTGCCGGATCTGGTCTATTCCACAGGGCTGTCTGGGGTCTATTTGGGCATCGTCACACAATTTTTTTGCCTCGTCTCGCTGAAACTTAGATGTACTCTTTTTCAAACGGGCGAAGGCTTGATAGTGTAATCCCTCACGTGACTTAGCGACAACCACACACCTTGTGAGACACATAGCATCATCCGGGTTGTTAGGGGACCACATGCTTGCTGCGTCTATTTTTCTCTCGATCCATTGATCAATACTTTCATTGGGTACTCGGTTTTTACGGCGCCCCCCTGCCTGAGGAGCCTTAACGTGTATATAATTGACCCTTAGTATGCCAGTTGCAAGGAAAGACTGATTGGAATTAAGTACCCTCGCCAGTTTGTCGGCAACAACTTGACCAGAGAGTTGATCCACTCGTCTCATTGAGAGCCACACTGGATTTTCAGAATTCTCCCGGTTTTCTATTTCAAGAATAACCCTGTCATCATCACTGGCACCAACAGCTTCCTTCTGCCTGTTAATCACAGTGTCAAACAGGGAAACCATTGCCTCTTCCGAAGGCACGGTGTCTCCCAAACCCTTTATTGCCATAACCTCCTCGCGAAACTTTGTTTTGAATCGCTTAAGCTCCCTTTCACGCGTCTGCAGGACCTCGAGTGTAGGGCCTTCCTCCTCCTGATCCTCCTCCCTTGGGCGTTTGGCGGCCTCGGGGGAACGAGATGGACCTGGCTGTGGAGAGGAAGACCTCGACTTAGAAGGACCTGGCTGAGGCGAGGGTGACCTTTGCTTGGAGGGGCCTGGCTGAGGTGAGGGTGAACGAGAAGGCTCTGGCTGAGGCGAGGGTGACCTCAACTTTGAGGGACCTGGCTGAGGTGAAGGTGTCCTGGGCATAGGTGTGGCAGCACGGGGCGTGGCGGGTTGTGGCGTCGTAGGGCGTGGCGGGGCAACGCGGGGTGGAGCGTTCGACCCACAGCCTACCATAGCCAATGCCATGCGGTAGGTAAGGCCAGCTTGAGGATCAAACCTCTTCTGCTCTTTGGCGTACGCAGTGTATCCTGCTAACAGAAACGGAATGACGCGAGGATCACTCCGCTCTGCGACAGTAGACCCCACAAGCTGCCCGAGAAATGTAGAGTATGCTTCCGCCAGCAGCTCCGGAAACATAAACATGCCCTCCTCCCACTCGTCCAGGATCTCAATGAACTTGGCGATGCCTCCTAACGACAAAGTCCGATGTATTGCGCTCCCGTTACACAAAGTTCGATCTGTTTCGCTCCCGTTACACAAAGTCCGATGTGTTGCGCTCCCGTTACACAAAGTTCGATCTGTTTCGCTCCCGTTACACAAAGTCCGATCTGTTCCGCTCCCGTTACACAAAGTTCGATCTGTTCCGCTCCCGTTACACAAAGTTCGATCTGCTTTTCGTCGCGCTCTGCATCGCGGTCTTATTATGTTTATATTTTCGCTAATATTGCCGGTAGAAAAAAAGTAAAAGTTGCTGTCTGTTGCTAAAAGATTGAAGAACAACATACTCTAAAGAAAAAATTGAAAGCGACAACAACAAAACTGCGGTAGCGCTCTAAACTTGGGTCTCCCGAGAGGGGCCAAAAGCAGATCGAACTTTGTGTAACGGGAGCGGAACAGATCGAACTTTGTGTAACAGGAGCGGAACAGATCGGACTTTGTGTAACGGGAGCGAAACAGATCGAACTTTGTGTAACGGGAGCGCAACACATCGGACTTTGTGTAACGGGAGCGAAACAGATCGAACTTTGTGTAACGGGAGCGCAACACATCGGACTTTGTCGTTAGAAGGCATCGTTGGAGTCCATGGCGGCGGGAGTGGAGACAAGGGAGAGAGGATGGGCACGAAGGCCGAGGAGAGGAGTGGCGCGAAGGCCAAGGAGAGGATCGGCACGAAGGCCGAGGAGAGGAGAGGCGCGAAGGCCAAGGAGAGGATCGGCACGAAGGCCGAGGAAAGGATCAGCACGAAGACTGAGGAGTGGCTGGAGGGCCAAGGAGTGGCGCGAAGGGCGAGGAATAGCGAGGAGAGCACGAAGGCAAAGGAGATGTGTCGCGGACGAAGCCGGAGGGACAATGATGCCTGACCGCTCCGCACGCGCTAGCTTTATACCCGCGGCGCGCCACTACCAGCGCCGCCTAGCGGCCGGCGGTGGAATTACGATTTAGCATTGCGCTTATGGAGGTGCGCAGCCGGCGCGCGCCGGCTGCGCA